TATATATATATATATATATATATATATAGTGTTTCTCTTCATTTACACATGATTTCCCTGACAGATTGTGAAGATCCTGACTATCTACACTCCACACAGCGGTGTTGATGAAAAAGTCTCTATGAACTTTATCCGTATGGTGCAGGTACGGTCTGGATCTGTCACATTCATCAGTTTAAAACCRCAAATTTCATCTCAGCGTTTCCTCCTGGCAGGAGCTTCTGAAAGGCTGCTCTGACAGCCAGCCTCCACAGCTCCTCCTGGATGTGAGGAGAGTGTTTCCCGTCACATTCCCCTCCTCGCCTCCGCCCAGCATCAGCGCTGAAGGATTAGTCATCCCAGACTCCCTCAAGATCTCCTTTCTACGCCGAGCCTGAAAACCCAGGTGCAAATATTTGCACGTATTTAGCAAATTACTGAGTCACTGATCATAAGTTGCACTAACTTGTTCAGATGAATAAAAACAAAAAACAAAAACAAAAAAAAACTGATGCTCTTTTTTTTTTCCTCCATGTTTTATTGGCAGCAGAAACATAGTCAGACTGTAGTATCAGGGGCTTCAACCCCCCAATAAGAACAACCAGAATAAAAAAAAAAAGAAACCAAAATTAGAAACATCTCGTGTATAAAAAAATGTTTTCCATGCAAGTACTTTGTACCACTACACGTCATCAGTAATACATATTTATATATTCACAAACATTTGAAAAATAGAAAACAATACTGACATATCAAAATATAGAAGACAACAGTTGGCATTGAACATCAAATAATTAAGTGTGCTGGCACGTTACACGATTTGTTCCTATCATGCACCTTTTTCTGGAAATACACGACTGACAGGTTGTTTTTTCAGTTTTTAGTTTTTTTGAGGCCCCCAGGCCCGTCGGACAGGGCGGGGGGAGTGATCATGCATGCCTGTCCTGTCCGCCTGTGTGCTTTTTGTTGTGCTTCTTCTGTCTTCGACTCGTGTTTTGCGTCCCTGCTTCGCTCAGCATCCTGAGAGGCCAGCTGAGCRTCCGGAGGAGGAAGAACTGCCTCGACTCAAAAGTGTCATTGTCAACAGCAATAAATACAAATACATTTTTCGTGGCATTTCCTGCTATGTGACCTGTGGTTTTAGAGTTGAATAAAAGGCTGTGCAGATGTCCTCTTCTGATGAGACCTTGTACACATCAGGGTTGAAATATGTTTGTTTTTGGACTAGTTTGTAGTCTGCGTGGTGGAAAATGATACACATYACCAGTCTGAGTCAGAAACATATGGCTTTATAGTCATCTCTAATATGTACACGGTCTCCCTTAACTGTTCAGTAGTAGCTACATGTCTGATCGTGCTTGCTTTTAGTCACTCCACACAAAATTCAAGTCTACAAAAGAGCAGCAAACTTCACTTTACGTGTGTTCTGTTACATCGGAGCTATTTACAACAATCCATCTCTGTTCCCAGATCTTTTTTTTATAAACTTTTTTTGTAGCACAAACAAGTTTCAGCTTCTAATCAACTCCACAACAGCTTTGATATTTGGCCCATTCAAAACAGAAACAGCATTTCCACGAATCGGACAAAAAAAAATAAAAGATTAGTGCTGATAAAATCTGAATAATAATCATCCACAATGTAAACATTATAAGACCGCTCCCAAAAATAGCCTCAACAGCAGAGTTTATAGATCAGATGCATAGAGTTCAGTTGTTACACCGTGTTCAGATAAACGGGGTCCGATTATTCAGTTACTATCCAGTAGTTGCACCTGAAGGGAGGCGGGAGTCCGGCGGGCCTCCTCGGGTGGCAACAAAGTGTGTGCGAGGCAAAACTAGGAAACTAAATCCACCTTATTACTTTTACATTTTTGAGTCCTGAAATAAGGACATTAGTTTTATTTTTCATTCTTTTTTTTCTTTGATGAGCACAAAAATAAAATTAATTATTAATAAAACTTTTCCTTAAAGTAGCTTTAAGAGACATGCTGAAGTGCGATGCACATCCAGTGACATTGGATTAAAAAAAAAAAGGTATTTCATGGCCACGAGATAAATAACGTGGGACCATGAGATAATAAAATACGGTCACAAAGATAACTTATGCATGGCCACAAAATAATTTTGAGCAGCCATGTCTCCATGTGAAAGATGGAGACATTGTTGAAGTCTGYTAACTATTTAAAGGTACTGTACACTTATTATTTGGTGTGTGTTTAATCCAATGACAGTGATAGCCCAGGATTAAGTCTAAAAGTGGGATGTGGAGAAAAGGCAAATATGTTTTGATTAAAACATTAGCAAAAATTGCATTTTGTCAAAACGATGAATAAATGCCATGTCAATGTATCATTTAAATGAACTTTCTGAAATATAATC